CTCAAGCCCAGGCTGTGACCGGTGCTTCTGACCCACCAGCGACAGGTCAGAGGTTCCCACGCCACCTCCTCTGGGTCGGTTAATTTGCTAGGGCGGCTCACAGAACTCAGAAACATTTTACTTAGATCACCGGTTTGTATGAAAGGATGTGACTGGGCGCAGCCAGGGGGAGGAGATGCAGGGTCGGGGAGGGGGAGGGGCCGGGCTTCGGGCTCAGAGCGCTCCACTCCCACCGCCCTGCTCGCCGACCCAGAGCTTGGTTTGGGGGTTTTGCGGCAGCTTCATGAATATGGCCGTTCAATGAAATCATTGGCCATGGTGGATGTTTCAACCTCCAGCCTCTCCCTCTGTACCCAGGGGTCTGGGATGGGACTGGGAATTCCAACCCTCTGATCACATGGTTGGGTTCTCTTGTCAACTAGTCCCTATCCTTAGGTAGGAGGTCCCAAAAGTCACCTCATTAACATAACAAAAGACCCCATTCAAGGCTCCCATTACTAAGGACATTCCAAGGATTTTAGTGGTCTGTGCCAGGAATCTGCATCAAGACCAAATGTGTATTTCTTTTTCTTTTAATCCTCACCCGAGGACATTTTTCTACCTTTTGTTCAGATTGAGTGGGAAGGAGAGAGAGGAAGAGAGAGAGAGAGAGAGAGAGAGAGAGAGAGAGAGAGAGAGAGAGAAACATCTACATGAAAGGGACACATCGAGTGGTTGCCACCTGCACGACCCAACCAGGGCCGGGGACAAACTGCAACCGAGGTACGTGCCCTTAGGGGGAACTGAACCCGGGTCTCTCTGGAGCACAGGTCAACGCTCTAACTGCTGAGCCAAACTGGCCAGGGCTCAAATGTGTATTTCTTATGATGAGTCACATCACACCAGCGGAGCAAGACATCTCCATCCCTTGTGCTCGAGCTTTTCCATGAAGCCAGCGGTCCTTCCTGGGAGACGGGGCACCAGGGATGCTTCAGAGTGACTTGCCCATGCCTGCTGTGCTGAGCCTGTGCCTGGCCAGAGGAGGCCCTGGGAAATATTCAGCAAGGATTTCAAAACCCCTCTAGATGCAAGGCCCTCCGCAGGGCTCCCAGGATCCCTGGAGAGTACTGTTCCCCTGGGGGTGGCCCCTTCCATGTCCTGTTCTTACCTGTGCCGGGTCACTGTGGGCTGGAAGTTGCCTTTAATGATGGCCTGAGCCTGAGTTCCTGGGCTTGCACGTCCCCAGTGGTGATCTGCATGGATGGGGACCCTGCATGGACGAAGGGGCCGGGAACCCAGGTTGCTTGGTTACCAGCCCCATGGACCTGGGCAAGTGGCCCTGGGGAATCTGTCATAGCCTCCCTGGCACACTGAGTCTGAGCCTGGCTCACGTTTACTGAGCACCTACTATGTGCTGGAAGAGACGGTCTGGGCCATCTTCATGTTCCCAGCTGGTGGTCATTGAGGCCCTGGGGTACTTTTTTTTTGTCCTCACCGGAGGACATTTTCTGTTCAGATGGAGTGGGAGGGAGAGAGAGGAAGAGAGAGAGAGAGAAACATCGTCGCGAAAGGGACACATCGAGTGGTCGCCACCCGCACGACCCAACCAGGGCCGGGGACAAACTGCAACCGAGGTACATGCCCTTAACGGGAACCGAACCCGGGTCTCTCTGGACCACAGGCCGACGCTCTAACCGCTGAGCAAAACTGGCCAGGGCAAGGCCCTGGGGTACTTTATGGCATCTATCTGCTTCCTGAATGATGGAATTACCACATCTTGACTCTGGCAAGGCCTCTGATGGTCAGCAAGTTCTTCTTCCTGTCTAGCCATTGTCTTCGCTGCTTAGACTTGTGGCGGTCCAGGGCAGCTGGTTCCCTGTGCAGGATGACAGGCCAGCAGATGCAGAACGCCATCCTCAGACTGCTAGGGGAAAATGGCCCCATGGACCACCAAGCTTTCTGTTGCCCCCTTGCGTAGCTTATCTCTCTCCAAGGAAGAAGTTCTGGTCAGAGCAGAGCGTCCCCGCCACCCCAGGCAATGGCCAGGGGACAAAGGACAGGCCCCAGGCCTGGATGGCTGGCCCTGCAGACTGGGAAGTGGGGAGAGTCCTGGGCTGGGGCACATGGGATGGCCTCAGCTGGCTCCTCTGCACAGCAATCCCATGGCCCTGGGAAGCTGGGCCCAGTCCCCCAGGGTCCTTGTGATGTCATGTTGCTGGTCTAGTACACCGGGCCCCCTGTGTGGTTTCCATGGACATGTGGTTATGGATGTTCCAAAACCAGCTTTGCCTTTCATCCTGTGGTGACAGGTGCTGAGCCCGGTGACCTCCCTGTCCCCATGAATGAACAGAGCACAGAGGACCCCAGTGGGGCTGGGTTTGAGGCCCAGCCTCTCTAATTCAGGGCAGGTTGTGGGCAGGAGGGGGTAGATTTCTAGGGCTTGGGACTCACTCCCAACAGCCCTCTGCAGAGACCACACACCCAGAGGGTCTGGGTCTCCTCCTCCCTCCTCTGCTTAGTCTCTCAGACTTAGTGCATCAGGTTGCCAGAGCGCCTCCTGGAGGGTTCTTTGGGGAGCCCTCCAATCCCCCTGCCTGCGCCGCTGGCTGAGAGCTGCTGGGTGGAGTGGTGGGTGCTGCCAGGGTCCCAGCCAGCATGCTGTACCCCTCCCCCCATTTCCCAGGGAGACCACTGGATGGGGACAGCTCCTGCCTGTGCCTTGCGCTGTTGCCCTCTTCTGTTCCAGCCTGGGGGACGGGCTCACGTACCTTTTTGGACTCACCTTGGACTTGGCTGGGTGGGACCAAGGGGCTAGTGACGCAGCCCCAGGATCGGACCGGGCACTGTACCAGGTCCCACAGTCAGATGAGGGTGCTGGTCAAATTGGCTGCACCTTGAGCGACATGGAGCTGGACATCACCCCTTGTGGGCCCGAGACTGACTGTGCACCGGCTCTGGTTGGGAGGGGAGCGGGAGCCACAGCGGAGCAGGGCTCTCCAGGGCTCGCCAGGTCCCGAAAGCCCGCCGTGGGCTCCAGTCCACCTTCCTGCTCAGCACCTCCGGGCCTTCATGCCGCCCTCCCTGGTGTAGCCTGATGCTGCTCACCTGCCAGTTTGTGCCTAGGCTGGTTCACACTGCAAGGCCCCAGTCATGCAGACAACAGGACTGCGGGGGCTCTTCCCTCCAGGACACACCTAGGCTGCTGCCCAGGGAGACACGTGTCCCAAACCCCATGCACTTTACGTTTTGTTTTGTTTTTTTTAGATTTTTTTAAAAAAATCCTCATCTGAGGACATTTTTGCATTTATCTTCAGTTAGATAGGGAGAGAGAGAGGAAGAGAGAGAAACATTGATGTGAGAGAGACACATTGAGTGGCTGCTACCCACACGACCCCAACTGGGGCCAGGGACAAACTGCAACAGAGGTACATGGCCCTAGCGGGAACCGAAACAGACCCTCCAGTCCCCAGGCTGATGCTCTAACCACTGAGCCAAAGCAGCCAGGGCCCACGCACTCTACTTTGAGGAAGAGGTGGGCTGCTCTATCTCAGCACTAAGGATGAACTCAATAATGAAAAAAAAATTTTTTTTTTAATGTTTTTATTTCTTTTTTAGAGAGAGAAACATTGATGTGAGAAACAGATTGGCTGCCTCCTGCACACCCCCTACTGGGGATCGAGCCTGCAACCCAGGCATGTGCCCTGACTGGGAATTGAACCGGGACCTCTCAGTCCATGGGATGACGCTCAGTGAACTGAGCCACACTGGCCGGACAGTAATTCTGTTTCTTAAATGAACGAGCAGCACGCTAGCAGGACTCGGCAGGCTGTGCACCTGGGCTTCTAGCTGGGAGCACCCTGGAGCCAGGTCTGGACTCATGCCCATGGCTGGGGGCCCTGCTGAATCGTGCATCAGGCTGGGTCCCAGCAGAAGACACAAACCACACAGTGACATAAACAGGATGATTAATAGAAACATTGATAAACTTGGATAAGAGAATCACTATAAGAGGTAATAAAGCTACATGGTACTCTAGGGCTGAGGGAGAGCCCCTAAGGAAGAAAAGTCATGGAAGGGGGTCCCCTCTCAAGGACTGGTGTTCAGGCCTCATTGGAAAAGGTATGGTTGTGCCCCCTGGATGGCAGAGAGGTTGGCTCGATTGTCTGGGTCATGGCTCTCCAGTCACTGGGTAAGCAGGAAGCAACCCTCTGGGGCACAAATGGGGTACAGGCAGATCAGCTGATGGTCGGTCTGTGGACCAGCAGAGGAAGTCAGGGTGTCACGCGAGCAGAAGGCCAGCTCACAGGATGTCGAGAGGGCCGCGGAGCCCAGCCAGGGCCCTGTATTCTCAGCCCATGGCGGGAGGTTCCCACCTGATGCTGTCACCCCAGGCTTCTGACCAGAACTGCTTCCAGACCAGCAGGAGGGCCCTTGCTGCAATGCCGTCTAGCGCCCTCTACTGAGGAAGTTTCCCATTGCGAGCACTCAAACGGAACATGCTCATTTCTCAGTCCTATGAAGGGTGGGTTTGGAGCTCAGTTTGGAGCCAGTTTCTACCCTGAAGGCTTTGTAGTTAGAGGGGCCTGATCCTGGGCCAGTTTTTGAGCTGGGACAGAACTGCTTCTTCTTCCCTTTTTTTGGGGGGGAGGTACGTGAACCCAGGACTCTCTGGTCCGCAGGCCAACGCTCCAACCTCTGAGCCAAACTGGCCAGGGCCAGAATTGCTTTTTGCTACACTGGGAGAGAAGTCAAAGCAGGCAAGTACAGGCCACCAATTTATGTACTTTCCTATTATGTTGAAATAGTAACAACTGAATAAAAAGAGAAAACAATGATCTGATTAATATATTATTTATTATGTAACAATGAGTTCTGAGACAAAGTCCAATTCAAAACATATTAATGATTTTAGATATACCATAATCCAAACCTACTTTTCCAATACATTTTCTTTTGTAACCTTTAAGGAATTTTCACTCCCATAATTTGGTTCTGGAAACATTTGTTATGTTAGAAAAAAAATTTAAGTACAGCTATTCCGCACAGGTTAAAAGAGATGATTCACATACACTCTAATAGTTACAAATCAATTACTTTTGAACACATATTTGAATTTAAACAGTTTAAATAACCAGTGTTTTAGATGAATTTAAAGTATACTTCAAGAATGGTTTTAAACATCTTTCCTTCCTAATGCACCGTGGAAAAAATCCCTTATTCCTTTGCAGTAAGAGCCACAGAAATGGTGTCCCAAACTAGGATCTACCGTGTCCTCTTGAGAAACAAGGGAGAGGTTTTGGACCTGGTTACAAACAGCCTAAGAGAAGTATCTGCAGAGAGAAGCCCTGTGCTGCTGGCTGTGTTGTGACAGCAGGAACCTCCCAAGGCCATGGACCGGGGTGGCTCAGAGGGTTGACAAAGTCCTGAATGGCTGGGACCATGTTACAATTGACCCTACTTGCTGGGACTCTTTGAGAAACAAACAAGAATTTTTCTGGGTAGTGTTTTCCATGGTAACAAATGAGTCACCTCATTGAATTATTCCGAAAAATTCACAGGGGAAGTACTGTGACAGGCTGTCTGTTGGTTTCATGCTACAGTTACACTATTTCAATGGGAAAGAAAACTTACGGGTTTAAAACTAAATTCTCTGTCACTGAAGATGTTCAATACCATATATTAATTCAATTGCTTTTTTCCTTCTATTCTTTCTGTTAGGCAAAGTTTGGTTATCTAGATTTTGCTACCCATCTATCTTCTGTTTTGCACATCAACTGCCCATACTGGCTACAAAATACCTGTGTGTACTGATACATGGGATGTGACCATGAAGTTGCATGTTGAATTGGGTTGCATACTTACACACATTCGCTCATATAAAAATATATATCTATAAATCTGTAGATCCCTCACTTACATACCACAAGTATGTTCTTTCATCTCAACAGCTTTTTACTTAGTCTTGCCAATCAGATAAGAAACACCATAAGATGGGGAAGACAACCTTTTTAAAACAAGTTTCCCAGCAGAAATTCATTTTTAAAAATAGGTCTACGTTCAAAGCAGCAGTCAGAAATTTTGTTCTTGTAGTAGGTAAATAATACTGTCCTAGTAAACTGTGGATTTAAATAAGTTTAATTTAACAGCTTCTTTCTTATCTCTTTAAAAAATAATCCAGTTCCCTGTGCTATTTAACGGCTTCTCCATCTTTCCAATTCCAAGGAATGCAGAGGTCTCCATCTTGCATGACGGAGTAGAAGTGCGAGACGCAGAGGTGCATCCCTTGCAGGTAGGGCAGTGACTGCCCCAGGAGTCTCTTGCAACAGTCCACCATCTGTTTACTAGAAACGCTGGGCTCCTTATAAAACTTTTCCAAGGAAAATTTCTTCGTTGAGGCCTGTATCAATTCATTTTCAATAACCTTTAACCTGTTAGATCGAAAATAAAAATAGTATAGCCACAAGCAAATAAAAGAACATGAAATGTAAAATACATTTTTAGATACCGGGGCTCTACCTTTCTACTCACAGAACGGAAAACGGTGTCCACAAAAGCCACATTATGCTTCGAGGACACGTCAGTGGTTATCATGCGGTACCTGTTATTTCCCACACAGCTCTCTGAAAGAATCTGTTACATCTTTGTAGAAGTAACAGGGTAAAAGTAATTAATACATTGTTTAAAAAGCTCTTAGCAGCTGAGAGCATGTGACGGAAGCAGAGCTGAGCAGGTTCAGTGCCTGGAGTTGGACCCTTGGGCAGTAATGGCGTCTAGAGTCCCACATAAACAGCCCTGTGGCAGGCACCTGAGGCCAGGACCACCTCTTCTCCCTCTTCCAGGCCTATCACTCCCCCCCTTTGCCTGTTCCACGAGGGCTGGAGTTCTCCGGGGAAGGAAACAACTCAAGGAGGCTGCAAGTGTCTTCGGTCCTTCCTCCCACAGGCACAAGTGCTTATGGATGTGATCTGGCAAGTGATTCAATCCCCAGATCGCAACAGCGAAAAGGGCTTTTTTACTCGCTCTAACAGAGATTTGGGCAGTCTGGCTTGGCAGTGCAAAGACACGCTGTGTGGCCAGCACACCTGACACACCCCAGGGCAGGGCCCTGCTCCCACTCCTTCCGAGAGAAGCCTCTGGTCTCATCCCAGGGTCCCCCGAATCCCTGGGCCGCCACCTTTGCAATCGGGAGGGCCCCTCAGTCCTCTGCCCCTCGGGGGCAGCCCAGGAGGGGCCTCGAGCCCGGAGAGGGCAGCCCTGGCGAAGGTCTCTCCCGGGCTGTGCTGGTGCCTCTACTGTTTGTAGCAAATAACTCAAAACCTATTTTCAAAATGGTTTTTTGCCTTTCCTTGTACTTTCTTTGCTTTATTACACTCACGCCCAGAGGAAAGCAGGAGCAAAGGGGGCGCAGTGCCGGGGAGCCCGCGACGGGCGGGGGCTGGGGACACACTCTTCCTCTTGCACTGCAGGGAGCGGCCGGCACGCCCAGGGGCTGACCTTTCTCTCCTTTGACAACATGTGTCGTCTTTTTTTTAATCCTCATCTGAGGACAGTTTTCTATTTATCTTCAGATAGAGGGAGGGAGAGAAACATCAACGTGAGAGACTCACTGATTGGTTGCCTCCTACAGGACCCCAACCAGGGCCAGGGACGAACCCTTGACCGGAATCCGTGGGCCCACGCTCTACACACTGAGCCAAACCGGCCAGGGCTGGTTTTTAAAGATGTAACAGAGTTTAAGCACCCCGCCTCTGACAGCTGCGTGCACGCCCACAGGTGCGCGCCTGTCTGCACTGCGCCCTGCCGGGGCCTCTTCCAGCGCCTGCTGGGCGCCACGGTCCTCTGCAAACATCAGTGACAGATGCGCAGTCTTGCACATGTCTGCTTCTAGACATGTAAGTGTCAAGATTATTAACCATTCTTTTACTGTTGAACACTGCTCCTGTGGGGGTAATGTAATTTAGTCATTAGAAAACAGCCACAGCCAATCCCTGCAGAACAAGGTGGAAGAAATAAACACGGAAGGCCCTCCAGTCAGTTAATTTCCTCCGTTCAGCAGAGCGTTCCCGTCCACGTGTCCGCGTCTGAACACCTGGGAGCTCGCCAGAACTGGGGGACAAGACCTGGCAGGGCGGACGCACTCACTCGTCTTTCCGCTTCAGGTTCTCTCGCGCCTGCGGGGCTCTGCTGAGGATGAACCGCTGCAGGCTGGCCGGGTCGCAGAGCGTCGGGACGTTGAAGTGCCCGAGTTCGTGCAGGCTTGGAGCGTACCTGTCACTGCAACGACACTCATGAAAGCACAGCCATCGATCCCTCCATCCCCAGTCCACCCCAAAGAAAACATTTTATGAATCTGATTCATGGAAAAGGAATTCATCAAGGAAATCCATCCTAAAAGTATAGCCCAACTAACTTAAAGTTTCTTTTTCCTTTTTTAAAAAAATCCTCACCCAAGGATATTTTGCCACTGAGTTTTAGATAGAGTAGAAGGGAGGAAGGGAGGGAGGGAGGGAGGGAGGGAGAGAGAGAGAGAGAGAGAGAGAGAAAGAAACAGCTCTCTCTCCCTCCAGCTCTATCTGAAGGTCAATGATAAAAAAATATATAACCTTGGGTGAGGATTAAAAAAAAAAAATGTAAAAAAAATGTGAGAGACACACATCGACTGGTTGCTTTCCACACAACCCTGACTGGGCTAGGGATCGAACCTGCAACCCAGGCATGTGCCCTTGACCAGGAATCAAACCCTTGACCCTCTGGTCCACGGGCGCTCTAATTGCTGAGCCAAACCAGCCAGGGCTTACAGTTCTGCTGGGTCTGAAGAGGCACACGTTATCAGGATGACTGCACACTCCCTAGCCTGTGACATTCCCCATCTGTCAAAAGGGGACAGTAACCCATTTCATGGTGAAGAGACAATGCATTTAAGCTCTAAGAACAGTGCCTCGAAAACAATATATGTCATCTATGCACAAACAGTGTTGACTATTGTCTAACATTCATTTAATCCTGTCCAGTTTTCCACAGGTCTGACTTCATCCTGTAAGTGGCAATATATGCACAGAATGTTCTAGAGGTTCAATCCTTTAGCTCTCTCATGTTAGCTTTTCCAATGTGTCAGAGAGTTGCTAACAGATGCCGTGACATTATTTTCTTTAATTCTGAAGAGTCACACTCTGAAATACAAAACAGTTCATCTACATGAATCAAGAACAGTCATGTTTGGTTAGGTACGCACCTGCTGAGAATCATCTGTAAACCGCTCAGGCTTCGAGGGTGGAAAGGTATTCTGGTTTTCGACAGCCTGTTGTAGAAGACGTCAAGAAGAGAGTAATATTCTTCAAGCGTCAGCACTGGCTGCAGTTCCTCGATGTAAACCACCTGTATGCCACCCAGAAGACAGCCTATCTGGTCTTCTAAAAGCATCAGCCTCCTCTGAAGGTCAAAATAACTTGGTAATCTTTCAAAAAGCTACAGGATTTTTTAAAACAGGAAAAGAAATATTCAGTTTTATGTTACAATAACTCAATTTTAGGATTCCAAAATATGGTACTGAGATATTTTAACAAGGTAATTATTTTCTAGAAGGAAAAGTTCAAGTCAGCGATAAGCAAGAGACTTAATGTAATGCTAGCAATATTAATAATCAAAACAAACCGCATTAGATCTTAGGATTTTTAGACAGAAACTGAAGAGCTTGTAGAAAAATATAAATATGTTCCAAATAAAAATAAGTCCTAAGTACTGATAGTTAGATATTTAGGGTTAAGTGATATAATAAAGAAGCATTTTAGCCTTGGCCGGTTTGGCTCAGCGGTAGAGCGTCCGCCTACGGACCAGAGAGACCCGGGTTCGGTTCCTGCTAAGGACATGTACCTCGGCTGCAGTTTGTCCCCGGCCCTGGTTGGGTCGTGCGGGTGGTGACCACTCGATGTTTCTCTCTCTCTCTCTCCCTCCCCACTCTATCTGAACAAAAAATGGAAAAATATCCTCGGGTGAGGATAAAAAAAAAAAGAAGGGTTTTAGAACTAAAGTGTATATATTTGAACTCCAAGTCTATTTCTTCAGAATTTACTTTAATTCAACTCCATTAACTGAAACGCAGTCGACAGACACCACTGAGCACCTACCATGTACTTGAGCACTAAACTGGGCTCATGAAATGCCTGGATTACGAGAGTCTGTCCCTCTTGCCAGGGGCTCACAGTCGGGTTGCAAGGACACAAAATAAAAGCCCGAATCCAGCAGGCTAGGTACCCGGCAGGGAGAATGGACACAGAGGTGGGTCAAGCAAAGGTTTCTGAGGATGTCTAATGTGCCCAATCTGAAAAGAGAACTAGGGTGTGGAGAAGGTTAGAGGCATGTGGTGGCGGGGGCGGGGGTTGCAGGAAGTAGGAGCCTGTGCAAGGGTCTGTGTGGCCGGAACACGGCATGCCCGTCAGTGGACAGAACAGAGGCTGGAGAGGCAGAGGGGCTGGGGCTGGGCCACATAAAGGACTTCGATTTCATACAGAAAGCTGTGGTCATACAACTTTCAGGGGTGTTGGAAGGCATTAAAAACTCTGCTATAATAAAAACAATAGCAGTATGAAAATTCTACAAATGATTTATAATACATTTCTAACACTGTGAAAAGTAATTTTCTACCTACTTGTTCCATTTTTCTCGCAATGGGTTATTTATAAACAGTTACTACATTTAAAAATGTTTTATTTGGGGGTAGGTGCAGATCCACAGATCTGCTCGGTCTCCCAGGGCAGCGCCGTGGAGAACTAGAGCACACTGCCACCACCAGACACGGCGCTCGACACGAGCCACCACCACTACCGATTTTATCAGTTTTACTTGCACTCTCTGTGTGTTACTTAACTATGTGCAATTTTATCACATGCAGAATTATGTGACACAACCACAGTCTAGATACAGACGAGTTCCACCACAAGCATCCCTTGTACTACACTTTTTATTTATTTATTTATTTTTTTATTATCATTGTTTTTATCCTCACCCAAGAACATTTTTTTTTTGAATCCTCATCCAAGGACATTTTTTCATTTATCTTCAGATAGAGCGGGAGAGAGAGAGGGAGGAAGAGAGAGAGAAACATGGATGTGAGAGAGACACATCAAGTGGCTGCCACCCACACGACCCCGACCAGGGCTGGGGACCGAACAGTAATTGAGGTATGTGCCCTTGACCAGAACTGAACCTGAAACTCTTTGTTCCAAGGGCCGATGCTCTAACCACTGAGCCAAACAGGCCAGGGCTAGTTTTTGGCTCATATGAACATTTGTGTATAGGATTCTGTGTGAACATAATTTCCCACTGCCCTAGCATGAGTGCCCGAGTGCCACTGCTGGGCCACATGGCGAGCACGGAACGTTCCCGGAAACGGCCGTACTTCCTCCAGGGGCCTGCACGGGCTCCCGCTCCTACCAGCAAGGAACCAGCGATCCAGTCTTCTGCATCGTCACCAGCACTTGGTCATGTCATCACTTTTCTCGTTAGCCATTATGGTAGGTGTGAGGTGATATCTCATTGTGGTTTTAATCTGCCTTTCCCTAGGGCTAATCATGTGAAACATCTTTGCATGTACTTATTTGTCATCTGTTTGTCCTCCTCTGTGACATGTCTGTTCATGTCTTTTGCCCATTTTCTAGTTGGATTGTTTTTTACTGTTAGGTTTTAAGAATTCTTTATATATTTAGATACAAAGACTTAGACAGATATGTGGTTTGCAAATATTTTCTATTAAATATTTGATTTGAACCGATACTTCGCCAAAGAAGATGTGGATGGCAAACAAGCTCATGAAAAGAGGCCATTTGTCATTAGCAAAATGCAAATTCCACCCACAGGGCGCCAGTGCCGCATGCTTATTAGAGTGGCTAAAATGAAACATGACCACAGCAAGAGCCAGCAGTTTCTTAAAAAGTTAAAATACTCTAACATATTCAGCTATTCTACTTTTGGTTATTTACCCAAGAGAAAAGGAAATATATATCCATATAAACAATTGTAGGTAATGTTCATAGAAGCTTTTTTTCTAATAGCCTAAAACTGACATAACCCAGTGTCTGTTGACAGGGGAGTGGACAAACAAGCTGTGGTACATCTATATGATGAAATACTACTTTGTGGCAATAAAAAGGAATAATTTCCTTGGTACATGCCAAAGCATGGAGGAATTTCAAAATTATGTTAAGTGAAAGAAATCAGGTACCCCCTGCCCCCCAAAGTGCATACTCTGTGATTCCAATGATATAAAACCCTAGAAATACAAACTGATCTACAGTGACAGACCAGTGGTCAGCTAGGAAAGGGCGCTGGATGGAAGAGCGGCTGCCTGACAAAGGGACATGAGCTACTTTTGTGGGTGACGACTATGTTCACCATCTCGACTGTGGTGGTGGTCTCACGGGTATATTTATATATGTCAAATCTCATCAAATTATACACACTACATACACACAGTTTGTTGCAGCCATTATACTGCAGTAAATCTGTTAAAGTCAAAACAAAACAACAGAATGCAGGCCTTTAGGCAATGCTTCAGAAAAGACTATAAAAACTAACTTAAGAATCAGTCTTCTAAGTATTTTAAACTACATGATACTAAGCACCTGATCTGAAAAGAGCTGTAATTACAATTACATTTTCTTTTAGTTCATTGACATAATAGCATCGTTTGAAACAAAAGTATGTTGAGGACAAATCAGAGATGTTTTTGCATGTCAGCTTTTTCTTACCTTTGTCCAGTGATGATGAACATCCATTGTTCCCAGCATCACATGGCCTACTGCACTGATCCCAGAACGGTCTGTAAATATTATTGTACACCCTGATAAGAAAACACAAACCCTCTGGTCACTGTCCAGAGAATCTTCATCCTTTCAGCACTGTGCAAACAATTACTTGAATTTAGTGGATAAATTCAGGATTAAATGTAGTAAAAGCATAAAGTTATTCAAATGAACAGATTTGGAAATTTAGTTGTGATAAGTCATATCTGAAAAGACTTTTCACAAGTAGTTCCCCCATACACTTTACAGGTGTATATAGAAGCTAAGTAATATTTTAAAAGAAAATGAAAATTATTTACCTTTTGCATTTTTAAGGGTTTCCAAGTTCTGCTGTGCTAAGCGGCCTAGGCTATGCAGCTGGCTACAGCGATGGGCGAGGCCCCAGCTCCGCTGCCACCTGGTCCAACAGAGCACACAGGCGCATTAACACCCGGCACCCCTGACGGAGGCATGCATTCACCCCCAGCGCTCAGCACGCATGCAACCCGTTTCAAAACTAGCTCATATTTCAAAACCCAACCAAATGGAAAATGAATTGTTGACCAGAGGGTAAAAATACTACTACTTGTGTTCAGGAATTCAGAAATTTAAAATAAGCAAATACGCCCTGGCCAGTGTGGTGCAGTGGTTAGAGCACTGGCCCATGCACCGAAGGTTGTGGGTTTGGGTCCCAGTCAAGGGCATGTATTGGGGTTGAAGGTTTGATCCCCAGCCCTGGTCTGGGCGCATGCAGGAGGCAACTAATCGATGTGTCTCACATTGACGTTTCTATTTTTCTCTCCCCTCCCTTCCTTCCTTCCACTCATTCTAAAAATCAATGAAAAAAGTATCCTCAGGTGAGGATTAACCAAAACAACAACAACAAAACCAATCAAGTACACTATGTTGTTTCTATGTTCGTTTTTGATTTAAGTTCCAATTAGCAATTCCAGTTAGGTTTATCAGGTCCTTCTTTTCTTCCTTATTGTCAAAAAAGTGATTTTTATGATACCACATAATCTGCTCATTTTACACATGAACATTAGATCTTAGTGATGAAGTGGAACCTGACGTTCACATGATGTCACAGTGGCACTGCTCTGTAAATGTAAAGAGCACAGTCTTATGCGCGTCAGAAAACCTACCTTTGAATTCTAATTCTGGGATTCATTAGCTCTGTGACCGTGAACAAGCTGCTTTCTAGCCTTCCTAAGATTTCTCTCCTGCATGCAAAGTGCGGATCTTTCCTGTGCCCCGGCAGTCTAACCCAGAGGAGGATGGATGAGAAGGAGCAAGGTGTGCAAAACAGGCTCTCGAAAAACGTAGGTTCTTCTTTCATCCGAACCCTGATTCTCATAAAGCCATTTCCGATAAAATGAAATTGGCTTAAAATTCTTCTTTAACCCACGACTGAAGAACTAAGATATACTTTTAAAGAATTAACATTGTACTCAGCCAGTGTGGCTCAGTGGTTGAGCGTCGTCGACTCATGTACCAAGAGGTCGCCAGTTCGACTCCAGGACAGGGCACACGCCCAGGTTGTGGGCCCGATCCCCAATGGGGGGCGTGCAGGAGACGGCTGGTCGATGTTCTCTCTCATTGCTGTTTCTCTCTCTCTCTCTCTCTCTCTCTCTCCCCCTTCCCCTCTAGAATCAATAAAGAAAAAAAAAGAATTAACATTGTGATAAAGCTACTAAATGCTGTTCCTATTAATGAATGGTCTTTCATACAGGCTGTTTAGAATTAGAAACAATGTCACTAGTCACAGTATTTCCATTTGTTGAAGCATCATGTCCACGGTCCTCAGATGCCTGGGTCTCAGAACCCCGCTGCACTTTCAAACACTGAGAACCCTGAAGAGCCTTTGTTTATGTGGGTTACATCTATTGACATTTACTATAGTAAGAATTAAAGCTGAGAAATTTCTCCACAATATTTTAAAATAAAGTATTTCTTTAAAAAAAAAATGTTTCTATCGATTTTAGTGAGAGAGAAAAGGAGGAGAGACTGAAACATCAATGAGACAGAGAAACATTGATTGGCTGCCTCCTGCATGTTCTCCCAATTGGGGATTGAGCCTGAAACACAGGCCTGTGCCCTGACCCGGAATCGAATCCAGACACAGGACGCTGCCCAACCAACTGAGCCACACCGGCCACAGAAAAGCTTATTTAAAAAAAATTTTTTTTTTAATCCTCACCCCAGGACATGTTTCCATTTTTTGTTCAGGCAGAGTGGGAGGGAGAGAGAGGAGAAGAGAGAGAGAGAGAGAGAGAAAGAGAGAGAGAGAGAGAGATAAACATCGACGTGAAAGGGACACATCAAGTGGCTGCCACCCGCATGACCAACCAGGGCCCGGGACAAACTGCAGGTACGTGCCCTTAACAGGAACCGAACCCAGGTCTCTCTGGACCGCAGGCTGACGCTCTAACCGCTGAGCCAAACTGGCCAGGGCTTGACAGATCTTTTAAAGCTTATACTAGAAAAAGTTATTTTCAGGTACAAAGAACCAAGACAACATCCATTTTCTCTCTCCTTTCTTTTTCTTTTTTTATTAATTAATTTTTGTTACAGATGTTTCTCCTTTTTCCCCCACTGATTCTCCCCCCCCCTCCTTTCTTTTTCTTAAACTCAAATACTAACCTTACATGATGGAGGAATAATTATATTTTACATATTACGTGTATATGAAAAAGGATCTTTTTCTTACAAACTCATCATGTAAAAAAGTTCAACTAGCTACAAATATATCAGTACCTAAACCTTACGTCACTATTTAAACAAGAAATAGATAGCGGTTTTCTTATACAGAATATTTGATTACTTTCATAGAAAGATACTTGAAGAATAGTTACCTGAAAAATTAAACTAAAAGATGCAAATATTTAATTGCTGAAAAACTTTACCAACAGGTAACACATGTTTATTCTAATCTCTACGTTAGGTTCTCTTTATTACCTGATATCCGAGAGCTGCAGCTGATGGGAGAGTTCACCTTTTAAACGATCGAGTTCTTTTCTAAGGGGCAGGCTATTCTCTAGCTTTTTGGTAGCATGTTTTCCATTGTTATCTAACCAGGATCTAGAAAGAAGAGAGACACACATTCTGCCTACGATGCCAACGTGCCTACTAGGAGCACACACATGCATTGCTCCACAGTAGCCCACGGTCAGCTCCAGTCAGACCCTGACCACATCACACTGAAAGTGGAATATAATCACTTGAGTAAAATTCAAATAGAAGAAATGAAAGTCTGACGTTTACTAATATCTTGGTAGCTAACAGAACAGCATTTCAATGGTTTTTCTATATAGTTCAATGATATGATTTTTCAGTTGAAAAAACAGTACATATAAGATTATTTTGTTTAAAAAGAAATAGACCTTGTTGGCTCCTTCCAAATTCAATTTTATATAATTAAAATATTTTTGTTATGTTATTTGATAATCAGAGAATATGTCCAAAATATAGAAATACTAAAATCTAAAACACAGAGTAGCATTTCATAATTTTTTTTTAGAGTGGTAAATTCTTTTTATTATAGCATATAATTTAAAAACTTCCTCAGGCATTAACACTTTCATTTTGCCCTTTCCTATATGGTACACAGTGAAGCGGTTCTGAAGATGCAGAACCACCCAACAACTCGCTGAGTACTCGCTGGTGTGGCTCAGTTGGCTGAGTGTCGTCCCGTACACCGAAAGGTCTCGGCGTTGAGTCCTGTCAGGGCACATTCCCAGGTTTCAGGTTTGATCCCTGGTCGGGGTATATTTGGGAGGCAACTGATGGACGTTTCTCTCTGTCTCTCTCCTCAAATCAATAAAAACATATCCTTGGGTGAGGATTTAAATAAAAAGAACAATTTGCTGAGAAATTAAAAATCACACAGCATGTCCAAAAATGTAGATCGGAATGTAATTACCAGATATAATATAAAAATAGATTAAATGGAGCCCTGGCCGGTTTGGCTCAGCAGTTAGAGCATTGGCCCGTGGACCAGGGAGTCCCGGGTTCGGTTTCTGCTAAGGGCACCTAAGGATTCGGTTACAGTTCGTCCCTGGGGGTGTGGGTGGCAACCAGTTGATGGGTCTCTCTCACATCAATGTTTCTCTCTCTCTCCCCCTCCTGCTCTATCTGAAGATAAATGCAAAAATATCCTTGAGTGAGGATAAAAAAAAGATTAAATGGAGATTTTATGACCTCAAATTTTTCTATTTTGTGTTTTACAAAACCCAACTGATTTATTTCCAAATATTTTATTTCACAATAGTAAGAAACTATTTCAACCTATAGTTCTCAACAAAAATAAATTTAAAAATATTAAAAGTCTACACTAAATAATACTGTTGTTATATTTTCTCTTGTTATATCCTGAAATATGAAAAATATCAACATTCTTTCAAGATTTAATTTTTTTTAAGAGTGGAAAGTAGGGAGGGAGGATGGGATACACACACACACACACACACACAGAGAGAGAGAGAGAGAGAAACATCGATGTGAGAGAGAACATTGATTGGTTGCCTCTGAAATGACCCTGACCAGGGCCAGGGATAAAACCTACAACCTAGGTAAGTACCCTTAACCAGAAATCTTAACCAGAAATTGTACCTGAGACCTTTTGGTCCATGGGCCAATGCTCTAACCACTGAGCAAACCAGCCAGGGCTCAAGAATAAATTTTGATCAGGTGAATGCAATTTATAAGCCATGTAGAAATGATCTGATGTAAACTTGAAGAATTATTTTAATGCTACTTCTGAACTACAGGATTCAGCATGTATTCCTTATGATTCCTCTTCTGTAAACTACATATATAATAAAGATGAGTTAAACAATACAAGAATACAAATGAAAACTTAAACTGTATATGGCCAAAATGACCGTGGTGGCTGACAAGTTCTGGCCAAGTTACAGATCCCCGACACCTCCTGACGAGGCAGCAACACTCCTCAGCCTTACTTGGGATCCGGCTCCATACAAGGGAGGAGTTCCAGGGTTACTTCAGACAACCCACAAAATCAAATGCTCTGCGAGGATAATTAAGGGTAATTTACCATGAAGGAATGAGTGAGGATCCTCTGATAAACCATAGACTTAAAAAAAATTTTTTTTTAATCCTCACCTGAGGATATGTTTTTATTGATTTTAGAAAGAGAGGAAGAGGGTGGGGAGAGAGACATGGACTGGTTGCCTCCCGGACCTGCCCCAACAAGGGATCGAACCCGCAACCTTTTTGTGTATGGTATGATATTCCAACCAACAGAGCCACAGGGACAGAATATGGCTGGTCTTTGCAGGGTCCAAAAATGACTTATGCAAAATACATTAATGGTGACTTACAAACGAGACAAATGATAAGAGAAATGTCTGTACATTTTATCACCCCTCTTGACATTTTTTTTTTTATCCTCACCCGAGGACATTTCTGCATTTTTTTGTTCAGACAGAGCGGGAGGGAGAGAGAGGCAGAGAGAGAGAGAGAAACATCGATGTGAAGGGACACATCGAGTGGTTGCCACCCGCACGACCAACCAGGGCCGGGGACAAACTGCAACTGAGGTACATGCCCTTAGCGGGAACCGAACCCGGGTCTCTCCGGACCGCAGGCCGATGCTCCAACCGCTGAGCCAAACCGGCCAGGGCCCCTCTTGACATTTTTAAACGTCGTCTCCACTTATTCTTATTATTTATGGATCATTAGGATCATTAAAAATCTTACTACTGAACTCTCCAAAGAAACTGAAAACGCTGAGCATCTGAAGAAGCTTAAATAAAAAAAAAAAAGATTTCGATATAACCTTTCTTCATATACTTGAGGAGAATTTTAAATATTGAAAACAATCTCCTGTATGGCTCGTATGAAAAGATAAAAAATTTAATACAATTGGAAGTATTCTGGCAACTAAGGAACATAAAATACCCTTTTCATAATAGTTATTGAGTTCACCGTTCTGACAGGATTACTTTTCCTGGAAAATCAAATTTTAAACATGAACTACAGCTAAGTTTCGTTACGCAGAAATGAATACGTACGAGAGGGTTGTTTCCCTTTTCGAGACTTGCTCGAGGCCTTCACCGGGGTCCTTGAATCCAGTAAAGGCGTAGTAAGACTTGTCCCATTTGATGGGCCTGTCGGGCGCCCTCTTCTCTTTGGGAGGCGGGGGATGAACACTGCTATTCAAGCTTTGGACATGTTCAATTGATAAACTGCAGGAGTTGAGAATATATAACACTGTGCTTAGCAGATCTCTGGTGTGCAAAGTAAATTTGACTGCTCGAAATCCTAGAGAATATAATTCCCCCAAACAATGAAGACAGATGATTACTTGTTTTATTTAAAATTTTGTCATACAAAATTTATAAAATCAAAATCTTTTAAAAAAAACACCCCGTTACTGATTAAAACTCTTCCTCCTGGCAAACCATCTGTCAATGGAACACTGCTTCCTTTCCCAGATCTTTACCAACACTGTCTTTGTCTTCGGCAACTCCGCTCAGCTCCCTTGGCTAGTCTGGCACCGGTGACCAAACCCAGCCGGCCCGAGAAGGGGATTCACAGTCTAAGAGACGGTACAGCTCTCCTATGAGCTAGTGTCCACCAAAGGTGGTTTCTCAGATGAAGGGGGAGGAAGAGGGGGTGGCTGCCCTGTGACAGTGGTTCAGACGAGGAGTCAGGCTATTTAGTCTTGGGGGTGAAAGAAACTCATCTAGAATTTTCTCTGTGACTGAAAGATTTTCCTCATAGTTGCCTACCCAACTAAGTTAGTAACTCAGTATTTCCAGAAGTGATTTCAAATTCCTAATTGTTTAATTGTGCTTCGCAATCTGATTTTGATACGGAGTAGTCACTGGGCTAAGGTTAGTAATCTAACTTGTTAAGTCATCAATAGGAAATCCACTGTTTATTTTTTCCACCCCTTTATTGTGGTTAGGCATGGTTGTTAGTTAAATTACATAACTTTTCAATCAACATTCCCACCAACTGTTCCATTATTTTATTTTTTTAAATCCTCACCCAAGGACATTTTTTCATTTTTTGTTCAGACAGAGTGGCAGGGAGAGAGAGAGAGAGAGAGAGAGAGAGAGACATCAATGTGAAAGGGACACATTGAGTGGCTGCCTCCCGCATGACCAACCAGGGCCGGGGACAAACTGCAACCGAGGTATGTGCCCTTAGTGGGAACCAAACCTGGGTCTCTCTGGACCACAGGCCGATGCTCTAACTGCTGAGCCAAACCAGCCAGGGCAACTGTTCCATTATTACTTCTCTTTTCAAATATGAACAAGACTCAAGGAGGTTAGAAAGAATGCAGCGAGGGCTTAAATCTAAGTTGACACCAACCCAAGTATTTTTTCCATTACAACATGCTCTTTTTCCTTTTTTTTAAAAATCCTCACCCGAGGACATTTTTGCATTCATCTTCAGATGGAGCAGGAGGGAGAGAGGGAAGAAGAGAGACAGAGAAACATTAACTTGAGAGAGACACATCGAGTGGTTGCCACCCACACGATCCCAACTGGGGCCCGGGGACAAAGTGCAACTGAGGTACATGCCCTTAGCGGGAACCAAACCCATGACTCTCTGGTCCATGGGCCGACGCTCTAACAGTTGAGCCAAACCAGCCAGGGCTGCTCTTTTTTTTTTAAACAGTATTGTAGCCCTGGCTGAGTGGCTCAGCTGGTTAGAGCGTCGTCCAGAAATGCCAAGGTTGCGGGTACAATCTCCAATCAGGGTACATACAAGAATCAACTAATAATTGCATAAATAAATGGAACAACAAATTGATGTTTCTCTCTCTCTCTCAAATCAATAAACAAACAACATTAACAAAAAAACGAAACAGGACTGTGTGTAACTTAACAAAAAATGTATAGTAATTGGTTTTGAAAATGATACCAGTATTATATAAGTAATTATATAAGTATCTCCTTACTGTGAAATCAGCCACAGACAGTACAAATGGGCCTCCTGTTCACAGGCACATACCCTCGCCCCTTCACTATGAATAGTGGGTGCATACGCTTCAGGTGCTGCACCGCTTATTATGGCAGCTACTACCCATATGTGGAAGCTTACATTAAATTAATTAAAATTAAATAACATTTAATATTCGATTCCTTGGTCACATACTAGGCACATTCAAATGCCCAACAGCCACAAGGGCTCGTGCCTGCCGCACTGGCGCAGATACAAAGCATTTCCCCCACTCAGCAAGTTCTCTCGGACATCCCTGCTCTAGACCTTTCCTACATGCTTGTGTATTACACATGATATATATGCATATACGTTTACACAAGCACCCCCTACAATCTGAACTGTTTCTTTTAAATATATTAAGGGGCCCTGGCCAGTTTGGCTCAGCAGTTAGAGCATAGGCCCTCAGACCAATGAGTCGTAGGTTCGATTCCAGTCAAGGGCATGTACCTCGGTTGCAGGTACCTCGGTTCGCCCCCAGCCCTGGTCGGGGTCATGTGGGAGGCAACCAATTGATGTATCTCTCTCATATCAATGTTTCTCTCTCCCACTCCCTCCCATTCTCCTGAAAATACATGAAAAAATATCCTCGGGTGAGGATTAAAAAAAATGTATATAAAGGGTATCATTCTGGATATATTACCTTGAACTTGTTCTTGTCACTTAGCCTTGGTGACCCTTTCATATCTATACGTATAGATCAACCTCATTCTTTTTAGTAGCTATATACTGGCCCATATAATGAAGGCAGCATAAGTCATTTAACACTTCTGAACTTGATGGACATAAAAGTTGCATTTAATTTTTCACATTCCATACAAGGCTGAAATGTATTTTCTTGTCTTTGCCAATGATGACAGGTATCACAATTTAACTCATTCTCAGGGATACATATTCTCTTGCCACAATACCTTTAGGGAACCTAGAACATGCAAACTAAGGATGTGTTTTAGTTTAATCATCTGATGGTAAAGTGAGAAATACAGGCTTTACTGTGATCAGTGATATAGGAAAAATAAATCCAAATTCCTGCATTTGAGGTTAAGAGGACACAATTTATCCGAAGAGCTAAGTCAAGGAATGAATCTCAGTTTCTATCTTATCAATTCCATTAATTATTTAATCCAGTGTAAGGGCTGCCATGTAGTGAGGAATGCCCACGCCAGACAGCACATGTCCTTCACTGGGCAACATGCCTCATTAACCTAGTTTGCATGTGATGACTAAAGGAAAATAGTTCTACATGTTTATTAGATATTTGTATGTATTATTTTCTGAATTGTTTAGTCATTATCTTTGCTAATTTTTGTAACAGAGCTATTCTATTTTCTTTTTGATTTCTAAGAACTCTTTATATATTAGCATTATCTTTTTGTCATGTATAATGTATGTTTTCTTCCATTTCTAGTTTATTTTTTTCTAAAATTTATTTTTGTTTAATGAAGAGCTCAAAGTTAATCATTAATTGAAAGTAGAGAATTTATAACTTTACTCAGCCATAGCCGATTACAAATATTCGTTTCCACATTAAGTCACAGAAAGCTCTTAGTAAATCTTTAACTTGTTTTAAAATTTATTATAATAAAGTTTATTTCCTCATAGATCACCAAAAAGATGGGCTGAAGAAATGACTTAGATCTTTAATTTCAGTAGTGAATATCACTAGTAAACATTTTACCTTACTACCATCTTAATTATCAGTGAAAAGGTGATTAATCATTTCTAATGTTCTAAAAATAAAAACATAAAAAGAACTTGATCTTAATTTTATAATCAAATATTAAAGACATAAAAATGTTTTAAATCTCTGTCAGAGTGCTAATCTTTGTCATAAAGGCAAAGACAATAATGATTAATAACAATATTTTAAAAGAAGAATCAACAGATAATATGGTATATTAAACCAAAGCATTTGACTAGGAATAAAGAGATATTATTCCTAGTACCAGTTCCATCCCTAATTTGCTGTGTGAAAGTTTCTAAGGTTTCTTGTATTTGTTCCTTTTCTCACAAAGAAATTTAACTCCAGTAATTATCACAAAGCCAGCTGACGGTGGTAGTGAAATAGCAGCTATAGCAGCAGAAATGAGCTTGACTCTTCCAAACATAAAAATACAAACAGAATGGTGATATTTTTTCTTTAAAAACTGTGAAGGATGTAATTTGCCTTTATAAATCCATCTCTCATGGAAAAATCATAAAATCATGTGTAAGTATGATGGTTTTTTTCAATCCCTAGGCTAATCTTGACCCTGAGTAATAATAGGAACATGTATCTATTTAAAAATATTTATGAATAGAGATTTTCTTGGCTAAGAACAGCACATTCATGGTTATCTATAATTTCAAACAGAACTGTGTCATTTAGAGTAATAAACAGAATTATTTATAATTGCTATTACTATTACTATTTAAAGCATTCTTCAATAGAGCTGTTTCTTTCCTTCACAACAGGGTTATGAGCTGACTTTTTGTCTTTGAATACTGAAGAATAGGGTCTATGTTATTTTTTAAAGACATGTCTTTATTGCTTTTTAGAGAGAGGAAGGGAGAGAGATAGAAACATCGATGTGAGAGAGAAACATTGATTAGCTGCCTTCTGCACGCTCCCTACTGGGGATCAAGCCTGCAACCTGGGCATGTGCCCTGAGTGGGAATCGAACCGGGACCTCTCAGTCCACGGGTTGACGCTCAGTCCACTGAGCCACGCAGGCCAGGCCTGAAGTCTATTTTTAATAAAACTCCAAATCAGAGCTAGATGGAGAAACAGCCAAGGAAAGGACCTTGTCCTGTTCTCCCATACTCAATCTCAGGAGAATAAAAGATAGGAGGAAATACACTACCAAATGCTCGTCCCTGGAGAGACTGGTGGGACGCTGTCTTAAACGTAAAGATCCTGTTTTAGTAGTTTTCTGATCAAGCTCCTCCTCACTCCAAGGTCCCGAGAGCCTTGTGAGCATCAGGTGTCAGTTAGGGACCCTGAATGTGAGAGCTTCAGCACACACACTGCTTCACCTCTTTCGTTTCAACAATGAAAACTGCAAGTTAAGGTCAGTAGCAGAGCTAGAGCTAGAAATAGATTCTAGGTCTCAAAAGACCTATCAAATGTTGAGTTTCATTAACAGTTTGCTTAAAAAAATTATAGTATATTTTCTCATTGTTTTAGCCTTAACTCGCAGAACACTCTTAGTAAATCTTTAAGTTGTTTTCAAGTTCATTCTAAAAATAAAGTTATCTCCTCAAAGATCACTGAAAGGCTATATATTTAGAGACATAACAGAACTACTTTTGCCCTTAATTTTAAGTATTACTGGATTGTGGATGGCTACAGCAGTGACAAAGGACCAAACAGAAGGCTATCAAGAACGACTAGCTTTAAAAACAACGTGAGACTGGAGTTAAAAGACCTGGGTTTGAGACCCATATTCCATCTCCATGGTACTTAGTTACAACTGGGCAAATACTATCTACCTCGCAGGATGTTCTGAGGACTAAATAAGAGAACGTAAGCTGCACTTAATGGCTTATTTAAACACATGAGGCCAGGAACAGAATCTAATTCTAGGAAAAACAATCAATTAAAAGATACTTTTCTATGACCAAGGTTTGCATCCAAAGGTATTCTGGCAACGTCAGACTGAACGAATCTACTTAACGCGAAGCCTGCAAGGGACAAGCTAGAAATCAGAAACGTACCGAAAGCACTGAAGGGCCCCTGGCCGTGAGAGGCGTTCTGGCCTGTCTCTCTCACATAGAATGTGAGCTGAGTCGGTTTCAAAGACTGGAAGCCTGGTTTCTGGATGGTTTCTAAATAGACACTTAATCTCTGAAGAGAAGTTTCATTGACTTCCTGGAAAAAAATATTAAGGGGCATTTACATACAAATTAGAACAAGGAAACAACAGAAATTATATCCTGACCTTTTTAACACATATTGAGCATATTAAATATTTCAGTATTAAAAATTATTAGGATTTCATAGCATTGGTAGAGGAGGAAAATCATTCACCTAGTACAAGGCTTAATGTTTCCAAACATGTTGGATTTTAAAACTTTATTAAATATTAAATTATATTAATTTGTTACAATCCCCAATAATCTGTATTCAGTTATTAAAGCTTCAAGGTTATGAATATTTTTCTGTTAATGCAATTTACTAATTATTTAGAAATCTGACTCTGAATAGCCAACATTTATCAAATATCACAATCAGAATATTTTCCTCAAGCAGAGAAGCAAAACTGATTTGTTCTCCATTGCAAGTGGAAAAAAGTAATACAATAATGTTCTAATTTTCAAGAGTTTTAAATTCTTTTTCATGTTAAATCAGGTGTCAATGTTAATGAAGATAAAAGGAACCAATGAAATAATTCCAAGCATTTGACTTTGTAATCTGTTGCCCAACGTTAAAAAGTATTGGCACCGAGCCCTGGCCGGTATGGCTCAGCGGTTAGAGCGTTGGCCTGCAGTCCAGAGACCCGGGTTCGGTTCCCGCCAAGGGCACGTACCTCAGTTGCAGTTTGTCCCCAGCCCTGGTTGGTTGTATGGGTGGCAGCCACTCGATGTGTCCCTTTCACGTTGATGTTTCTCTCTCTCTCTTCCCACTCTATCTGAACAAAAAATGTCCTCGGGTGAGGATAAAAAAAAAAAAAAAAGTATTGGCACTGAGAGCTCACTAGTTCAATTCCCAGTCAGGGCACTTACCTAGGTTGTGGGCTTGATCCCCAGTGGGGGGGGCGGGCGTGTAGGAGGCAGCCCATCAATGTTTCTCCCTCCCCTTTCTCTCTCTCTCAAATCAATAAAAACATATTAAAAAGAAGTACTGACCTTTATAACTCAGTTTATCCTAAGTAATTTTTCATATCGGTTTGCGATCCCTGAACACACAATGAACCATGCTGCAGGGACAGGGACCATCCATAGGCAACACAAGGGATGACTGTCAGGGCACCGACAAACCTTTCTTGGATCGTCCTTGAAAAAGGACTGCTCGTGGAAACAGAGGCCTTAAATATTCTTTCAAACTCTCAATTTTACTAAAAAACAAACAAACAAAAGCCCCCAAAAACTGGCACAGAAAATATAATTAACCAATACTCTAAAGAGTTTACATGCTAGCTTTATTGCCTGCTTAAAAAGTATCAGATTTCATAAAAACAACGTATTTTCAGTTTGCATTATCTGTATTTCAAATTAATTCATTGACAGAACAACGCAAATTTACAGAACTCTCTTTATTATACTGTAACCAAGGCAACTAAACTATACAGAAATGTAGACCAAGGTTAAAAAACTAATAAATGTTTACCCTTTCTCTGGGGTGCTGTCCAAAGAAGTCTGGATGTACCGCAAAATAGAATGGCCTCAAGGCGTTGACTGCTTCAGCTCCTGACAAAGCTCTCGAGCAGAAAAACCAGCGTGGAGAGACCTTCTCCAGACACAGCCTTTTAAAAAGATGTGGATTTATTATTTGTTGAGGCCCTGATGTACACACAAATCTCCAGTGTATAAGGTGACAGCAACATTACAATTACTATGTATGGAAAACACCATAGAACAAATTAGAAACCAAAATGCAGAACTTTGTGGTTTTCTGAAACCTACCAAGTTTTAACAAGCAGTGAGTGCCATATGGTTTCTAAAAACAGTGGACAGACGTTCTACTGATACAATATGAAAAAGAATATTAAATAATAATACAGTTTCCCTTCAAAACCCACCTGGAAATGTTAACTCTCTTCCCTGCAAATGATGACAATTTTCTATGTCATTTTCTTCTTCAGATTAAAAACACCCCTCAATATCCAGGTGTCATCTTTTTATAGTAAAAAAATATTTTGAGAATTATAATGTTTAAAAATAAGATACAGATGTCTCTTTGTTCATTTCCTCATTACTGGCAAATTAATATTATCCTAGTTGGATAACTTGACATTTCATTCTTAAAATTTGGCATAACTCACCTGAGTGTTTTTTTTTTAAGTACAGTTTTAAATTTAAATGAAATTACTTGCACTTAGGGGGAAGCACTTCCTTGACATCTATTTTTGCATGTTATAATTTACCTTTTCCATTCATAGAAAGAAGTCTCTAAATATTGGACATATTTTTGTCTCATACATTATGTGTACTGAGTCTTTTGAAAAGTTTTCTACTTTTAAAATGGTAGGACTATAGAGACATTTTTTTTTTTTCAACAATCTAGAGACCACCATGTATTGTATTTGAACCACTTTTTTTCTTTATTGATTTTAGAGAGAGGAAGGGAGAGGGAAAGAGAGACAGAAACCTCAATGAGCGAGAACAAAGATTGGCCGCCTCTTGCATGCCTCCTAGTGGGGATCAGGCCCACAACCTGGGCATGTGCCCTGGTGACCTCTTGGTACATGGGCCGATGCTCAACCACTGAGCCACACCAGCTGGGCTGTATTTGAAGTTGACATATAGGCTGTATATTAAAAATTGTAGCATATAAAGTCAACATATAGGTTGTATATTAAAAATTGTAACAGGAGTTTGAACAGTGAAGAAAACAGTCCTCAATAGAAGGCAGCATAAGTAAATGTGAGTGACAACTCCATTTCTTCTCCATCTGAGCTTTGGCTCTCATTTCCAAATGTCTGACAGACACTTAGCTATCTTGACAGCTGCTCAAATTTTACAAGTCTAAAAAAAGGAGTAGAGGTCATTATTTTCCTTCTAAACTCAGCCTGGATACAGAAGGCAAGGGAGCAGCCAGACAGCTCAATTCAGGATAATTTCTGTTACTGTGGCACAACTTTTCTCAATGTTGCCAAAGCACCAAACCTCAGGTTCACTTCTGCCCAAACAAGCTCACCATCCCCACCCCATGTTCAGTGAGTCTTGTTTCTTTTCACTTTACAATGTCCCTTGGAATCATTCCTTCTTTCCGTTTTCCTGCTACCAATTATCACCACAAAATTGGACTGCATAGCCTCATAAACAACCAGACCGTACATAGGTTAGTTTCCCTAAAATCCCACTATCACTGTGTTCCCTACTAAAACACCACTTATGGTCTTTCAACTCCTGCAGAATAAAATCTACTCCTTAGTCTAGTATATTAAGTCCTTTATTATAATTTCCAAACTATCTTTCTTTTTTTTTTGTCGTTGTTGTTTTTTTTTTATCCTCACCCGAGGATATTTTTCCATTTTTTGTACAGATAGAGTGGGAGGGAGAGAGAGGAAGGGAGAGAGAGACAGAAACATCGATGTGAAGGGACACATCGAGTGGCTGCCACCCGCACGACCAACCAGGGCCGGGGACAAACTGCAACCGAGGTACGTGCCCTTAGCGAGAACCGAACCCGGGTCTCTCCGGACCGCAGGCCAACGCTCTAACCGCTGAGCCAAACCGGCCAGGGCCCAAACTATCTTTCAAACTTGACCTCCAACCAACCCTTATAGAAACCCTCAGTCCCAGCAGCCAATGATCAACCTCATTCTTCTTTCTTCTACATGCTGTCTAAGCTCTAATGCATCCTCCCTGTCCCTTACTTCCATCTATCCAAATTGTACTCATTCATTAAACAATGACCTACTTTGCATACCTACTGTGTGCCAGGAGGCAATGTACCCATTTTCCCCAGAATCTTCCCTTTTGAATCCTCATTATAAATAGCCTTCCCCTCTTGCAAACTAAAAATCATTATAAATAGCCTTCCCCGCCCTGGCCAGTTTGGCTCAGCGGTTAGAGCGTCGGCCTGCGGTCTGGAGAGACCCGGGTTCGGTTCCCGCTAAGGGCACGTACCTCGGTTGCAGTTTGTCCCCGGCCCCGGTTGGGTCGTGTGGGTGGCGACCACTCGATGTGTCCCTTTCACGTCGATGTTTCTCTCTCTCTCCCCCCCTCCCACTCTATCTGAACAAAATATAAAAAAAGTGTCCTCGGGTGAGGTAAAAAAAAAAAAAATAGCCTTCCCCTCTTGGAAACTAAAAAAACAAACAACAAAAACCGAACTATTTGGAACATAATACCATAATGTGTAAATTATATATTTTCATTTGTTCTTCTTTCCTTCCACCTATTCACCCTCAACTATCACTGTATTTTTGAAGGCACTAAGTATGCTTTACGTATATGTTGTTGTTTGCTGTGTTAGTTTGGGTCCGCTGAAAGCAAAGGCCGAGACAGGATTAGTTAAGATGTGCAACAGAATAACTGGGAAAGGAAGGAGAAGGTGGGAGAGCTTTCAGACCATGATCTGGGTCTGACACCTGTAGAAGAAGAGAGGGGAGGAAGGAGTGTCGAATAGGAAAGTCTTGGGCTGCAGCCCAGTTCCAAGAAGGGCGCAACCATGCCAAGGGGGAGTCCCTGATCCAAAGTCAGCCAGTGGAGTCCTGTGTGTTGCTGGAATGACTGACTTGGAATTTACATTATATATACATAAATAGAAAATACAGCAGTCAAATGACCTTAGTATACTATTTAAGTGCATAGAGTGGTTTTAAATAGGATAGCAGTAGACATGAGGGCAACATGATAAAAACTGTGCTAAGGATAAACTTTATTTTTTATTCTTTTCACCTTCTGCTCTGAAGGGGCCCTTGAAGGACCTGGCTGTTCACATGAATTTTCTTTTTCCCTTTTTTTTAATCCTCACCTGAGGATATTTTTCCATTGATTTTTTTTTTTTTTTTTTTTTTTTTTTTTATGGGGCGGGGGGAGAGAGAGAGAAACATCAATGTGAGAGGGACACATTGACTGGTTGCCTCCTGTACAACCAGGGCCAAGGATCAAACCCACAACCAAGGTACATGCCCTTGACTGGAAATTGAACTCATGATTCTTTAGTCTGTGGGACGATGCTCCTAACCACTGAGCAAAACCAGTGAGGGCTTTTCTTTTTTTGTTTGTTCTTGCCCTCCACCATAATATAACTTTAGGATTTGAAAAATAACAATAAATTAAAATTAGCAAAATGTATAATAGCCTCTCATACTAATTATAGATGGTACCATGAAGCTTACCTCCTCACAGGTCTCAGGTGGCAAAACATTTCTGAATATATGTGTACATCAACTTCCAGGCATCCATTAACTGCTGAAAAGTTAAGCACATGCCAGTAATGAACAAGTTAAAAACTTTACCATTTACATTAGCACTCACCAAAATGAAATACTTAGCTATAGAGCTAACAAAATATGTATATGACCTAGGAAAACTAAAAAACTCTGATGAAATGAGAAAGAAAGAAAGAAAGAAAGAAAGAAAGAAAGAAAGAAAGAAAGAAAGAAAGAAAGAAAGAAAGAAAGGAGAAAGAAAGAGAGAAAGAAAGAGAGCAAGCGAGCGAGCGAGCCCTGGCTGGTTTGGCTCAATGGTTGGAGCATCAGCCTGCAGGCCAGAGAGACCTGGGTTCGGTTCCCACTAAGGGCACGTACCTCCATTGCAGTTTGTCTCCAGCCCTGGTTGGGTCGTGTGGGAGGCAGCCATTCAATGTGTCTCTTTCATGTCGATGTTTCTCTCTCTCTCCCCCTTCCACTCCATCTGAACAAAAAATGGAAAAATGTCCTCGGGTGAGGATTAAAAAAAAAAAAATAGAACTAGGCACTCTGGCCACGTCTTTTCCCTCCCCTTTATCTTCCTCACATCTAATCTCCAAGGGCCCTTCCTTTGCCTCTACAACTTGTTTCCTAAGCCCATTTCTTCTACGAATTACTTCTTCTACCTCAGTGATTTTCCAAATAAATGTTCTCTTATATACAAAAAACCTAAATGGAGAGATATTCCACGTTCATGGATAGAAAGAGTCAATATTGTCAAGATGCCAGTTCTTTCCAACTTGATTTATAGATTCAATGCATTCCCAATCAAAATCTCAGCAGGTTATTTTACGGGTATTGACAAACTCATAGTAAGGTTTATATGGAAAATCAAATGACACAGAACAGCCAACTCAATACTGAAGAACTAAGTTGGGGGACTAACTCTACCCAATGTCAAGACTTACTATAAAGCTACAGGAATCAAGACAGGGTGTTACTGGTGAAAGAACTGATAAACTGAACTTCATTAAAATAAAAAACTTGTGTTCTCTGAAAGACAATGTGGAGAGAATGAGGAGACAAGCCACATACTGGGAGAAAATATTTGCAAAATACATATTTGAAAAAAGACGGTTACTCAAAATATACCAAAAAACAAACAAACACCCCCCCCCCAACCCAAACAAACTTAAAAAAAATCAAATCCGGGTTTAGTTAAGTCAGCACAGGTATAAGTCTCAATTGCAAAGAGACTAGAAGGATATACATATGCAGTCTATAACTAGCTATCTCTAGTTAGCTAGTGGTAGGATATTAAGTGCTTTATCCCCCACCCCTTATTTCCTAGTTTATTAACAATAAACATGTGACATATTTTCTTAAAAATGAGAAGCCAGCCCTGGCCGGTTTGGCTCAGCGGTTAGAGCGTCGGCCTGCGGTCCAGAGACTCGGGTTCAGTTCCCGTTAAGGGCACGTACCTCCGTTGCAGTTTGTCCCCGGCCCTGGTCGGTCGTGCGGGTGGCAGCCACTCGATGTGTCCCTTTCACGTCGATGTTTCTCTCTCTCTCTCTCTCTCTCTCTGTTCCTCTCTCTCCCTCCCACTCTACCTGAACAAAAAATGGAAAAATGTCCTCGGGTGAGGATAAAAAAAAAAATTAGAAGTCAATTTTATCACTTCTGCCAGAAATAAACAGGTCGCAGGAAAACAAAACATAAGTGGCCTGACTGATAATTATAATGTCAACTTTCTTATTTACCATGAGAACTATAATTACTAAGGAGACTAGAAGACTCAGATCTGAGGTCTTTCTCTTACAGGACTAGCCACACAGAAAATAAAATTGCTGTCAGCAGACGGAATATACACTGCTTCAGAGTAAACTTGGGTGCTCTCATTGGTTAGTGGGAAATAGTTTGAAAGCCTAGGGCACTCAGGTCAACGGCAAGATTTTTGTCTTCAGATAAATTCTTTCATAGATGGTTCGTTCTTGTTTGTACTTCCTAGGGCCCACTATCCTTCCATTGGGAAAAGCCTCAAACATGCTACAAAATAACTAAGGTTATACTGTTTTATTAGACTTGGAAAACACTCTCGGTCCTTAATTCAACCATTCAACCGATTCATCAACAGGCAATTACCAAGCACTTATGTGTCAGATTCCTCTCTGGATGGAGGGTGGAAAATGGGGAAGGACACAAGTCATTTAAAAAACAATGCAAATGTCTTCTGCCATAATCCACTTAAAAGTGATACTAGCTTCTATTTCATGCAATGAAAATTTCTGATTTTAACCTAAATTCTGTGCTGTGAAGGCATTAAACATGCTGTTCAGTTTCAAATCAAATTTGGTAGAAAGAGATATCTAAGTTGGTGGAAAAGTCGAATTTGGGTAGTTTAAGAAAAACTTTTTTTTTTTAAATCCTCACCCAAGAATACGTTTTTATTGATTTTAGAGAGAGAGGACGGGGGATAGAGAGACACGTGACGTCCGTTGCCTCCCACAGGCACTCCCAACCTGGATGAACTCCAAACTTAGGTATTTGCCCTGACGGCAATCCAACCCCCAACCTCTGGTGTAGAGGACAACAGTTCCACCCGGTCAGGGCTCTTTTTTTTTTTTTTTCTTTAATTCTCACCGGAGGACATTTTTGCATCTATCTTCAGATAGAGCGGGAGGGAGAGGGGAAAGAAGAAAGAGAAACACTGATGTGAGATAGTGAGACACATCACTGGCCACCACCCACACAACCCCAACCGGGAGGGGGACAAACTGCAACCGAGGTACATGCCCTTAGCGGAGCCGAACCCCGTCTCTCTGGTCCACGGGCGGACGCTCTAACCGCTGAGCCAATCCGGCCAGGGTTCAGGGCTCAGGGCTCATTTTGCTTAAATTACTTTTAATATAGAAACAGTAACGTGTATGCCAGAGGTCCTATGATTGACCTTTGGCCATTTGGCACAACTTTTATTTGATAGTAACTTATTTTTCTTCAGGCTACTCTCATTTAAACTGTGATTTCCTTTAGTAACTACCTTGATGGAAGGAATAAAAGTAGGCAACTTTCCATTGCTTTTCAGTCGACTATTTCTCAGGAAAGGGAAAAAAAGCAAAGAAAAAGTAAAAGCAGTAAGTCCTATGAGATAACTGAATCAATTGTTGCAAAAGCAAAGCATCTAGATTCTTAAAAAAAATTTTTTTTTTCTTTTATTGACTTTAGAGAGAGGACGAAGGGAGAGGGGGAGAGAGATAAAAACATCGATGAGAGGGAACACTGGCCGCCTCCTGCACGCCCCCCACGGGATGGGGCCCACGTCCTGGGCATGTGCCCTGACCGGAATCGAACCCGCGACCTCTTGGTGCCTGGTCCACGCTCGACCACTGAGCCGCACCGCCGGGCAGATTCTTTAGCTTCCTTTTCTAAATCTTTTGCTATGAAATCTGAATCATCACAATTTCCTATGATAAGTCAAAGGTTTCGGGGAAACGGTATGGCTGGAAGTAAGGAAGCCTAAGAAATCCTTTGGTCTCTCACCTCCAAGGCAAGGTAAAACCAGCCATGTGGACCCTGCGGCCCTGATTCAAGTTAGCACGTCGAGCTAGGGTGACAGCGCGCCGCCCACGCGAACCCCCTTTCTGCCCCGAGCAGCCTGAAATCCCGATTGGAACCCCTCCCCTCCTGCTCCTTACAGTTCTGGCCAGTGTCCGCCCCAAAGGTTTTCTCCGACCTGTTCCAACTCAGACCTGTTTGCCCTCCCACCCCACACTAGTGGGCTAGGCCGGGACGCATGCGCGCGGGCCGCCGGCCCGGCCCACGAGCGGCGCTGCGGGCACGGCGCTCCCGCCTGCCCTCGCTCCTGCACTACAGCTGACAGGCTCCTACCCGCAGTGCTCGGAGCCCCCCGCCCCCCGAAAATCTCAGCTGGGCACGCCCTGTTCCATCCGGCGCCTGCAGCGAGGGACGGGCCGCAGAGCGCGCTCTCATTGGCTGAAGCGTGCCAGGCCTTCCTCCCGGGAGCGCCCCAGCCGAAGGTTGAACCCCTTAGCTGTACCCAGCTCCACTGACGTCAGCGCCCAGGTGACCGCTCCGCCTTCCCCGCTGCTTGGAAGCCCGGCCCGTCCTTCTCCTTACCGCCCGGCCGGAGGGAGCTCCGCGCGCCCGCCGCAAGCTTTCGGACGCACGAGTGAGCACTTGGAAATGTGAAGAACTGGGCCGGAGGGAGTCGGAAATGATTGGGCGGCAGGTGGTGAGGCCTGCCCCGAGGGTCGGTGGAGCCACTGAGCACGCGCTAGAGGGCGGGAGGGCGCGCTAGAGGACGCGCGCATGCGCCCCCTCCCCGGCCCCCACCTCCTCACCTCCCAACCGTCAACCCCCGCGCCCTTAGAGGGGGTGAGGCTACCTCCGCAGATCTGCCCGCAGAGCCTTCGGAGCTGACGCTAGTTTTTAAAAATTTCTCCGGTTTGCATTTTCCTTAGGACTTTGGCTCTTTCAGGATCTGGCTATTTTCAAACCTTAAGCACTCTCCACCCTCAGCTTAGGGTTTTGCTATTAGCTGTATTTCACTTCTATGGCTTTGATTACAGAAATGGCCACAGATGAAATTAGGCAAATAACAATAACCTATCTTTTTCCTTTTCTACCTTTCGGCCTTATTGACTGAGCCAAAAAAAAAAAAAAAAAAAAAAAATAGCCCCCCCCCCCCATCCTCCTTTTGTTCCAGCCCTAAGGGCTCTCTCTCTTTCGACTTCTCATTAGAAACAATTTAGTCACTTGTGATCCATTCCATCCAATTTCATTTTTCCTAAAAGCTTCATTTATCAACTGTCTCGTCTTCATCCTTTCAAATGCTTCTTGGCTGTCAGCATCTGAACTGTCTCATATTTCTCTAATTCCTTTCTTTGGGTTTCAGTTACCCTCTTTAGAAAAGACTAGCTTATAATCGTCCATTTACCATCCTTCACTTGTCCTCAAATATCCAAACGTATTTTATTTGCTAGGTGCTGCATCTAAAATAGTGGCAGTTACAGTCACCCAGTTTGTTCTTGCTAGAGAGCCAGTCATCTTCGTTGACGTCCCACTTCCCTCTCATTCACAGCAGTACTCATGCCACGCTTCATCATGGCGAGGCGAAGTGCAAGAATTTACCTTTTTCAGTCTTGTGAGGTTATAGACTCTTTCCAATGATGCTGCCATTACCCTATTTTGGGAACTACTTTAAGAAGTTCTTTCAGCCCCCCGCTCCCCACCCCCCCCTCCAGCCATGACTTATTCTTTATTCGCCTTAAGACTTTTTCTCCAAACGATTTAAAATTATGGTTTAAAGTAGCATATCTTAAGTATCAAATTGAGGGTTGAGGATGACCACCTTAGAGAATGACTGTGGTACAGATTCTGAAGATGACTTGAGAAAAGGAGTTTTAACTTCCTAAGGTGGTTTGTACGGACGATCCTTGTTTGCTATTTAAGTTCTGGTATATTTGTTTAAAATAACTGTTTTCTTCCGAGGCAAGGATAGGTGGAACAGACTCGGCTGTCAGAGGGCAGGGGAAGGAAGAGGGGACTTGGATGAAAGAAGGGATTAGCCAAAGAACATATATGAATAACCCAGAGATACTGACAACAGTGTGTAGACGGCCACAGGGAAGGTGGGGTGGGGCTGGGTGGAGGTGGGCAAAGGGGGCAAAATGGGGACATCTGTAATAGTGTCAACAGTAAAGTTAAAATATAAATAAAAGGTTTTTTCAGTCATATTTAATGTCTTTTCAAAATACACATAGTATGATAAAATACACAAACTATTCACAGGGTAATTAAAAATTTTTGGTAAAACTCAGAAGGTACTCTGGAATTTTAGTGTTTGGGCCATTTTTCAATATTACTTTACTATTCTGTATTGCAGATGTGGAATAGGCTTTAGAAACTGGACTGAGTATACACTCAACCTACTTCAGACCCCAAAAGGTTTTTCTGAATACTCAGTTACCCACTTGCACATTTCCCCTTTTATGTCTCCCTCTAATGAAATGCTGCACAGTATTCATTCAGTTTGTGATTTTTCAATGTCTGAATTTCAGAATAAATAGGGATTTACCATAATTAGGTTTTCTGAATTTAAAAAGTAGTCAAAAAGTAATTTGAAAAATCACTTCAGTGGGGTTTTGTATAACTATTATAAATTGCATACATCAATAAATTTTGTAGTGTTTGAAAACTATTAACTTCTATAAATCAATAAAGGGCAAAGGCTGAATATAGTGAAAACCGTCTTTATTTTTATTGCCTTTTATTTTCAACAGTGATTACTTGAACTTAAAAAAAAAAAAGTAATAACTAATGTTTATTGAAGAGCCAAACCTTTCCAGCCCACTTCATGTTTTCTTTCAACCATTTCAGGGCAGAGCAATGTTCCAAACTATAAACCTGTTCCTTATTAACATTGACGGTCATGTGCTTAATGAAAAGCTTTGGATCTGATAAACGAGCCGCAATCATTAATCTTTCCACTGCAGCTTGATAATCATCCTTGCTCCGAGATTTGTTTTCTTCACATCTACAAAGTAAAGACTTCACCAAGTCAGAAATTCTAAAAAGAAGCTATATGGTTTCTTCAAAAGATATTTACATTTATTAGTACTAGTTATGACAGACTTTTTACTATACTATTCTACCAGTGGCTTTCAAACTTTTTTGACCATGACACATAAGAAAGATGTTTTATAATGTGACCCAGTAGACATCCTCATACATGAAAACTGAAGTTTCAGAAAACAAGATGTACCCTTATGACAATGTACTCTATTTTCCATTGTCTCAGTTTTAATAATGTGGCTGCAATCCCCAAAACTGATTTTACCATACAAATGGCCCACAACCCATAGTTTGACAAACACTGATATAGTACACTGCTAATAACCTCAATCTTTGTGTTTTCAAAGTTAACTGCATAAATTTTCATGATAATGCATAAAAGAATATTGAATTTAATTAAGTTTGGAGTTACTGACATGTTTTACCTTGATACAGGCTATTTTTAATTGTAAACATACTATGTAGCTGACCTTTGGTAACAGAAATTATAGTATTTACTAAATTTCTGGTTTTCTTCAGTCCTGATTTAAGGTACTTCACAAAAGTGCTAGAATTTACTTTTCTAATAACTTCTAGTCTCCAAATTTCATAAAATTTATACCTAATGGCCATGTTTCCTATGGGATAGGGAGTGGGAAGTATTAAAATAGAGGTGTGGTTGTTATATTAAGCACCACATTTTCTTTGTATTTGTTGCATCCTGCTATTAGCATCTATAGGGTCCAGCAGCAAGGCCCAAGAATAAGCCTATGTGCATTAAAAGCACAGTGTGGTCCACAGAGTGGTGGGAGTAAGAACTTCCACTTGGAACAGGAACCAGTGGTCACAGAAAGGAAAGATTGGTCAGGCGCCTTCTATTACCTCCTGGTTTAGGAATTGGTGCCTAGAATCTGGTAGATTGGGCATGTGCCAACTATGTGCAGTTTTTGAAACTCTAAGGATGAATAAAATTCTTTCTCAGAGGTTATTGTAATAAGATGGGGTTCAGTATGATCATAAGAGAAAACAATATTGGCTTGGACAAAATCAAAGATCTAGGCATGTCACTAGTTATGCACTGGGGTCACACATATCCCTGCAATTCAACAATGAATACAGAGGCTGCATATGTGTGAAAAATACAAACCTATGAGAAACCACACCCTCATTAGGATGATGGGGAGCGCAAAGCCTCACCACTGTAGTGCACAGAGTAAATAAGGAAGCTCTCAGAAAAGAACAGAGCCAAAACAAAAAAAGCCAATTTTAGTTTGTTTAAAAATGAAGGCAGCCCTAATCAACTGTCAAACAAAATAGAAAACAGAGGCATGGACACATGGAGCAGATTGACAGCTGTCGGAGGGAGGGGAGGGGATGAGAGGACTGGATGAAAGAAGGTGGAGGGATTAGCCAAAGAACATATATGCATGACATAGACAACAGTGTGCTGATGGCCAGAGGGAAGGGGTGGGGGTGGGGCAGGGCCTGGGTGGAGATGGGCAAAGGGTGGGGGAAATGGGGACATTTGTAAGAGTGTCACCAACCACAACGAAAAAAGTGGCCATAAACAAATTATTTCCTAATTTGTTTTATGTATGGGTGAGAGTAAATGGCTGATTTATCACAAATAAAATAAAGCAGAAATAACAGTGTACAACTCTGGACACTAGGTTATTAGATAACAATTCTCCATGGGTCCCTTCCTTGCATTTCCAAAGTTTTGAGAGCAGAGACACTGACTACCCCTTGTTCTGGATTTCAAGGATGTTTATATAGTGATCAAACTTGAAAGAAAGATAGTTTCTCTTTCTGGAGCAAAGGGCAGGTTTGTTACAGCCTTTTAAGATGGAGATATTGTTTTCCTGCAGAGCAGAGAGCTTATTACCCATTATAGGTGATTTGGGTTCTCTAAATTCAGGATCCCTCTGCTTTAACAGCCTGCGTGTGCAGGTATCCATCTGGGCCCGTCTGTGGGACTCGGGGGCCACAGAGATACAAATATGCAGATAATCCTGCTGCTTGTTGCTGTACCATAAGTAATAAAATGCTCTGTTTCCAACCCAGGAGTCTGGTGTCTTATGCTAGGATCCATGAAACCGGCAGGCTGACTTGTGTAAATAGGGTAAAATCTCAGAGCCTTCAAAGTTCTTGACATAGATCATAAAAAGCACAGCTTCCTCCTTGCTTTTTCTCTCTTGGATTTCCCACTCAGAGAGTAGTTAGCAGTCACGTCATGAAGACACTCAAAGAACCGATGGAAGGGCCCATGTGGCAAGGAACTGAGGCTTCTCATGAGCCATCTAGGAAACGGATCCTCCAGCCTCAGCCAAGCCATCAGGTAGGTGACTGCAGCTCCTGACCATACCCTGACTCCAAGTATGACAGACCCTGAGCCAGAACCACCATGCTAAGCTATTCCAAAATTCCTGACCCACAGAAATGAAAAGATTTGCTGTTTTAAGCCACTAAGTTTTGGGATAATTTATAAACAGTAATAGATAACTGACAGAATATTCAACCTGAGGATCTGGTTTGTAACACAAGTAAACTGAAGCTAAATTCTTATCAGTTCTAAAACAGGAATCCCATGAGATCCTTATATTATAAGTTTCCTGGATAAGGCTGACAAGAAATAGGAATGGTATAAGCTTAAATTATGGAACTTTGAACAAAATCACTTGAGGGATGCTAGTCTG